AAACTTGTGTTTTGGAAGAAAAATTTATTCTACCAACAAATGACGCTTATTATGAAACAGCGAGAGTATATGTTTAAAATCTAATACTCCCCCCGTTTCATATTAAATGTCGTTGTAGATAATTTTTTCGTTACAAAATAAGTATCGTTTTCGGTTTTTTAATGCAAAATTTATTAATTTTATTATGTAATTTATTTTTCTATTGGTTAAAATATAATTAGATATATATGTAATTGTGTTTTTATATAGGAAATATGTAAAATTAATTTTTTTTTAATCCGTATATATAACTTTAAAATGATATTTATAATGAAACTGAGGGAATATGTAACATATTGAAACTGAAGAAGGAGTATTTAATCCCAAGCTCAACATTGTATAATCAAACCGGTGTGCACGTGGATCCTCCTGTTTTAAAATCATAGTTGTTCATTTAATAAACAGACTTCATGATATCAAATCCAGCCTGCCATTCTCTTAATGACACATGGTATGTGATTCGATATGTAGGATACGACTTGGAGATGTATTGTTTTCAACTCCTTTCATATAATTACATATATAAAATCCTGATTTAAATTGTACCATGTGCAGTTATATATTTATATAATTTCCTCCACGAATAATTAGTTATTGGTTATTTAGTAATTAATTTTCCACTCTTTTATTAATTTTGTGTTATTACAATTCAAGAGTATATTACACCTTAGGTCATATTTCTACTTAGGGATGGTCATAGATCGAATAATCGGGTATTTGGAAGTATTTGTGATCTGATCTATTTAGGTCAAATAATCAATTATCTAATTCATTTTGATCTAATTCAATTTGATCCATAATCACACGAATATTAGATATTCTGGATATCTAAAAAAAAAAATATTTTTTTAATTGGATATCTAATTTGATCCATACAAATAAAATAAAACATAAAAAATTCAAATAATATGAAATAATTATAATTTATTACAAAAGTTCTAAAATTTAATAAATAAAAATATTGTAATACTTATATAAAATATAATATTTATATAATTTATATATACTTCTTTAAATGTATGTATATATGTATATAAGAGATCAGATACACGTTTTTGAATATATTAGTTTTTGCGATTTTCTTCATTTTTACAGATATTATATATTAATATTTGATTTGTTTCGGATATCCGAATTATTCTCACAGTATATAGAATTTTCTCACAGTATAATAAACACACATAAAAATTACCATGAGTAGAAAACACTCAAAATCAAAACAGTGTTGTACATTTGCCATCATTTAGACTTACTAGTCTGGTTTTGATTGATGTATATCATCTTATTAGCTCGAAAGTCTATCTAGTAGAGCTTTTCAGAGTTTTTATGGATATCAAGTCTATATCCTTTTTTCTCCTTTGTTTATTTTTCGTTTATGCGTAGAGAGCTTAATTCTGTAGTTGATGCTCTTGCGAAGAATGCTATGTCTCAAGCTTCTTCGTTGATGTACTAAACTTCTTTTTGCTATGACATTTCTAATGTTGTCCAAAAAGGCTTACTAGAATATGTCGAACTATTTTAAAAATTATTAGGAATTTGTTTAGGTTTATATGAAACAACAAAAACCTAGATAAAGGGTAAATTAAGATACATATTCATCATATATAAGGTAGATTGACTGGAGAAGATTTATACGCCTTTGGAAAAGCCAAAGTTCCTTTCACATAAAATAGATTGATTGGAGTAGATTTATATGATTTTGGAAACCCATAGTCCCTTTCAAAAAGGAGTGTGACTGTATTGATTAGAGTAAATTAAAATAGGTGAAAAACTATTTCACCCATTTACTCTAATTTTAGCTCATTTATTCTAAAAAGTGAAAAGTTACATTAAAGATTTAGAAAATCTTACTTCAACTTTAATGAGATGAAAAGATTAACTCCAGATTTATTATTTGTTATCACTCTCATTTTATTCTTATAGGCAACCAAACACATTCATAGTCTTTATTTGTATTTGAAAAAAAAATGATCAACTGGAAATACAAAAAGAAAAATCTATATTTTTGCACAGAATGCAACACTTGTCTCTAGTCAATCCAGTTAATGCCTGACGAAATCATTTGTGGCGACAACTGTCATGACAACGTAGCTTGTCATATTACATCACATTCTGGTAAACGTAATACGTAGGAGTATTATTTAACGATATTATCCACTAAATTACTTATACTACGCATTATTACTCCTTATTTTGCCAAAATATCCATAATTACCAAGTAAACAATGGAAGCAAAACTGAACGCTGAAGTGGCAGCATGGCATTTATATTTTAAAATCAAATACTGTATGAAACTTAATGTTTTTTAATTATAGAGACATCGAAACAGTATAAAGAAGATAATTATTAACCATTAGTTATAACTTATATTAGGAGAATCCTCAGAGGTATATCCTCAAAATCAATCAAATGATGACGTAATTAGATTCTCATCAAGTTATTAGTTAATAATTTTTGCTATTATAAGCCTATAATTATGTATCGATATAAGAGTATGTTAAGGTCTATAGTAAACATGCTCTTTTATATATCTTTCTACTTGTTAAAACAATCATTCTGTTTAAATTATTGAACAAACTTCCGCTGAAAAATTATTAACAAATGAAAAGAGATAAAATATATTATGATATTATAAAATAAATGATATTATTCTGAACAATACATCCCCATAATTTTACCAGCCCAGCGATGACTATTTGTTATCGATCATCGCCCAAACTATGTTACATAAATCAAAACATTTAGGTACAATCTTATTAAAAGAAAAGATAAATTTCAAGGGTACAAAAGAATTTCGTTGTTTTTCTTCTCAAAATTATATGTATATCAAATAACAACCTTTTTATTACTCTGTCTTCTACTTATGAGCACCTTACGAAACCGCTAATGTAAACTAAACCAAGTCAAAAGTACTTTTTTGACAATATTTACACACAATACCAAACCGTTAAAAATTAATTAGGTGAAATGATTTTTTACTCGAGAAAATAGAACGAAAGTATAACAAATTAACAAGGCGCTATAATCTACATTGAATTAACGCTTAATCCATTATAAACAATAAATAAAATGATTAGACTTCCAATAACTTCGTTTGTCGTATTCACTTGATGGAGCTCGGAAGTACATAAATACAAGTACAGCGCTTAATGTGTGACTATCCATGTGGCTAATCATGTAGTTTATTAATTAAAGCAATGTTGGCCTTACATTTAAATATCAGTTCAAATGAAAATAATGTTAATAATTTAGTCGAGCACGTATCCCTAATCTTTTCCAAAGGACACATGCTGACCTTGGCTGCTAAATCGAGACCTTTAGGTATGTCGTCCATTAATTAGTAGTTCATTTTAAAATATATCTTCAACAAAGAAGGTCATGTCTCATGTTTAGCCTTCTTTGATCGCGAAATCATGAGTAACTGGTTTCGATAATTTTGTATGCTTTTAAATTAAAGGATAGATTATTTTTTGTCAATTAAAAAGATAATTTTGTATGCTTTTAAATTAAACCATATTTTAATGTTTGAACCAAAAACTAATGAAAAATTTAAACACAAAATCAGAAAACAAACAACATAGTTCGTTTGTATCTTGCGATTGCGTCTAACAGTTCACAAATCTTATTTGGTAATGCAAGTACAATACTATTCTCTTAGTGTTAATATATTATTTCGATATCTTAATGGATAGGTTGATGGCAAATATTTCCTTTTAAAAATCAAGATATATACACTTTCTAGGTCTTTATCTTGCACACTGAGTTAAGTTTAGTTTATACTACTATAATAAAACAGTTTTTTTATTAAATATAATTTTCAATCATACAATTGTTTTCTGATATAATTATTTTATGTTTTTCTGTTTCTTTCCTAATTTTATATTTAATGGTGATTTTCTGATATATATTTTTGTTCAATATGTTAATTATTTAATAAAGCAAGAATTCAAACTATATAAGTTATAATTTTGTTATGGCTATAATCTATACTATTAAAGCTGAAGTACAT